TATTATGTATTGTTGTTTTAACTTAACTGTTGAATTTTATACTTTTTGGATTACTTGTTATGTGTTTGGGCATCTAATTGTGCCCTTTATGTAAGCCGCCCTGAGTCCCCCCAGGGGTGAGAAGGGCGGGGTATAAGTGAATGAAATAATAATAATAATATAATAATGTGTCTGGCATGACTTGGTTTTGAGAAATCCATGTTGACTTTGAGTAATCTCAGCATGTCCTACAGCTGAGTTTGTAGAGCTGCTCTGTGTAGTTCATCACAGACATTATTGTCAACAGATCCTCTTAATTACAAAGTTATCCATTTTAGTGGTAATTACGACAATAAAAGTCATAGCACTTATGCCTACACTTGAGCACCTACATTCCACTTCTGTAGGGGTTCAATCTCTCTGGAGGTTTTTGATCAGAGTCTGGATGGCCATCTGTCAGGGGTGCTTTAACTGTGTCTTCCTGCCTGACAGAATGGGGGTTGGACTAGATGCCCTCTGGGGGTCTCTTCAAGTGGAGCCTCCTTCTCTGGAAACAGGCCTGGCTTGGAATAAGCCTTGCATTCATCCTTCAGTGTGGATGGGATCTGGTAGCTTTCCACTCCTTGGTGCTCATGGAGCCACAGGGCCTGTGGAGAAAACCACAAGCGCTTCTTCTTTTGACTCATCTTCCCCAAAATAGGAAGGAAGCCAAAGCAGTTTTAAAACAAATAGGCACAAGAGGGTTTTTGCAGCTTATTGCAAGCACTGCAAAAGGTGCATCTACATTGTCGAGTGAATACGGCTTGGCACTACTTTAATCGCCATGACTGTCAATGCTCAATGCTGTGGAATGCTGAGATTTGGTGAAGAACCAGCAGAGAAGGCCGGCGAAACTACAACTCCCAGGATTCCAAGGCACTGAGCATTGGCAGTCAATGAGGTGTGAAATTGTGTTCGTTTTACAGTGTAGATGCTCCCAATGAGTGGAACTGCACTGCCATATAATGCAGTGTGGAACTGCATTATGTATATCGTCTATGCACAGCTATATAATTAAACTTAACTGCATGATATGGGTCAACACTGAACATATAATCTTATTTTAATGTTTCATAGAATCATAGAATCAAAGAGTTGGAAGAGACCTCCTGGGCCATCCAGTCCAACCCCATTCTGCCAAGAAGCAGGAATATAGCATTCAAATCACCCCTGACAGATGGCCATCCAGCCTCTGTTTAAAAGCTTCCAAAGAAGGAGCCTCCACCACACTCCGGAGCAGAGAGTTCCACTGCTGAACGGCTTTCACAGTCAGGAAGTTCTTCCTCATGTTCAGATGGAATCTCCTCTCTTGTAGTTTGAAGCCATTGTTCCATTGCGTCCTATCTCCATGGAAGCAGAAAACAAGCTTGCTCCCTCCTCCTCCCTGTGGCTTCCTCTCACATATTTATACATGGCCTCATCATATCTCCTCTCAGCCTTCTCTTCTTCAGGCTAAACATGCCCAGCTCCTTAAGCCGCTCCTCATAGGGCTTGTTCTCCAGACCCTTGATCATTTTAGTCGCCCTCCTCTGGACACATTCCAGCTTGTCAATATCTCTCTTGAATTGTGGTGCCCAGAATTGGACACAATATTCCAGGTGTGGTCTAACCAAAGTTTGTGTGTGTGTGTGTGCATATAAATATAGGGTTTTAATGATATTATTTTATTGTTAGCCATGGGATAGAAATAATAATAATCTATATAATCTATATAGTCGCCTACGGGCTGAGAGAGTGCAGTATACAAATAAAATAAATCAATAAATCAATAAATAAATATAAATAAAAATGTAATGTTTGTTTGTGGGATTAACATAACTCAAAAACCACTGGGCGAATTGACACCAAATTTGGACACAATACGTGTATCAGGCCAACGAGTGACCATCACTCATAAAAACACTGAAAAACACAGTGGAAGAGACTAAAAAAGCCAAAACATAAAAAAAGCATGACAATGCATACACAAAACCACATATATGCACAAATATATACACACACAAAACACATATACATAGTCTGGGCCTCAACAACATGTGGTAGGGGACAGCTAATAATAATAATAATAATAATAATAATAATAATAATAATAATAATAATAATAACGCACTGGCAGATGATGGGAAAGGCAGTCAAGAAGCAACATTGAGGGAAGTCAATACTGGTAAACTGCTTCAAGTGCAAAAGACAAAGAGGGGGTGCCGTAAAAACACAATCCAGAGCAGAAGAGAAAACTGGCCAAAGAAGGCTCTCTCTCCATGGACAGTTCCTGGGAAAAAGTGAGAGCCAAATTGACAAAGAAAAAACATGGCTGTGGCTCACAACTGGAACTCTGAGACAAAGGAGGGCCTGATTCTGGCAGCCCAAGAACAAGCCATTCGAACCAAGGCCATCTAAGCCAGAATTGAAAAGTCGATGACAGATCCCAAGTGTCGACTCTGCCAGGAAGCAGATGAAACAATAGATCCCATTCTCAGCTGCTGCAAGAAGATCGCGCAGACAGACAGACTCCAAGCAGAGGCACAACACCGTTGCTCAGATGATTCATTGGAACTTGTGCCACAAAGACCATTTGCCTGCGACAAAGAACTGGTGGGATCACAAGCTGGAAAAAGAACAGAGAATGAACACGCCAAACTCCTCTGGGACTTCCGAATTCAAATAGAGAGAGTTTTGGAGAATAATACTCCTGATCTCACAATGGTGTTAAAAAACAAAGTATGGATTGTCGATGTTGCCATCCCAGGCGAGAGCAGGATTGAAGAGAAACAACTGGAAAAGCTGACACGAGACAAGGATTAAAGATTGAACTGCAAAGACTCTGGCACAAGCCAGTCAAGGGGGTCCCAATGGTGATAGGCACACTGGGTGCAGTGCCTCAAGACCTTGGCCTGCACTTAAACACAATCAGCACTGGCAACTGCAAAAGCTCACCTTACTGGGATCTGCACGCATTATTTGTCGATACATCACACAGTCCTAGACACTTGGGAAGGGTCTGACGTGTGATCCAATACAACAGCCAGCAGAGTGTCTGCTGTGGACTCACCTTGTTGTGTTTATAATAATAATAATAATAATAATAATAATAATAATAATAATAGTTATTGTTTAATGTTAAATAATAACAACAACAAGAACAAGAATATATTATTATTATTATTTCTATCATGCAAAAGGTAATAACATAAATAATAAATAAAAGGGCAGCTCAACGCACAATCTTGTTCTTACTGCCAGTTTTCCTAAAGGAATGCAACAATTGAAGATTTATTCCCCCCAGCAAATTGTTATTTCAGTGATTCCGATTGTGTAAATCTGTGTGTGTATGTGTGTATCCAAAAAATTCAAATTTTGGTTCAAACCCCAGCTTGGTTTTGGCAGCTTGGACTACAAAACCCTTGGTCCATTTCTCTCACAAGTGCCCCTTGTTCTCCAGGTTGCCCTTGCAACCATAACCATGGCAACCGGGATGGAGTAGGGAGGAATGAGTGTGCGTCGTCATGGCAACCGTGCGGGGATGAGTACGGGGAAACAGTACCAGCATTGAAGCAGGGCTGCGCAAATACACTAAACTAAAATAAGATGGGATGCATTAGGATCAAATAGGATGGGAGAGACTAGAATAAACTGGGAGAGAATGCAACAGAATGATAGAACACAATAGGATGCAATATAATAGAATAGGACTGGAAATAATGGAGTAGGATAGGATCAAATAGGATAGGATAAAATAGGATGGAATGAAAAAGGACAGAATGGAGTAGGATAAGTTTGCATAGAATATAGAATAAGATAAATAGGATTGGATAGAATAGTATGCAGTAGGATGGAATATATATATATATATATATATATATACACGTACACACACATATATATACACACATATATACATACACATATATATATACACACACCATATATATATATATATATATACACACACACACAAACACACACACACATACATGTATATTTATATACGATGTGTGTATGTGTGCGTGCACACACATTAAATATATGTGTATGTGCGTATGCATATATATAGTAAGCACATGCGTATGTATACAGGTACATATACACACATCATATATATACACACACACATATACATGTAGATATATACACACATACACATGTATGTGCATGTGTATATATATATATACACACAGATATATATACACACACATATACATATATATACACACACCATATATATACACACATACATACATATATACACACACACCATATATATATATATACACACACACATGCACACATATACATGTATATATATACATACACTGTGTGTATGTGTGTCTGTACATACACAATTAAATATATGTGTATATGTATGTGTGTATGCATATATATAGGAACCACATGTGTATATGTATACAGATACATATACACACATCATATATATATACACACACACACACACATAAACTTGTATATATATATATATATACACACACATACACACACACACACATATATATATACACACACATATATATGTATACACACACACATTTATACATACACACAGAGATACATGTGCATACACACATACACCATGTGTGTATGTGTGTGTGTATATATATACACACATATATATACCTGTGTCTTTGCCCTCAAGTCATGGTGACCCCAGAAACTTCATAAAGGTTACTTTTCAATAAAAATAGGTTTTTAAGAGCAAAGGGTGCTTCTACACTGTGGTATTAATACAGGTTGACACCGCTTTATCTGCCATGTCTTCATGTTGTCAAATCCTGGGAGCTGCAGTTTGGTGAGGCCTTTCCACTCTTTGCCAAGGAAGGCTCAAGCAAGACCTCGTGAAACTACAACTACAACTCCCAGGATTCCATAGCATTGAGCCATGGCAGCAAAAGTGGGATCAAACTGCATTATCTTTTCTTTTGCATACTGTCACTTAACCTCTGTTCTGTTCCATTCCCATTTTTTTGTAGATAGCAAACTCCTGGAAAAATCCAGTTGGGAAAATTTTGCAGCGGAGCTACAAGCGAAATCCTTGGATGGAGCAATGGGCCTCCTTCCTCCCAGGTACAGGTATACGGATTTCCTCCCTGTTTAGATGCCAGAAAGGGGACCCCAGTGTCTTCTTCTCTCCTTCCTAGTGACTATCTATTAGGCCTGTTTGATCAAGAAAAAATTTGTTTCTAAAATCGATTTGTAATTGGGGTGTTTTTTTGTTTCGATATTTAAAATAATTACAAAACTTTCCCAAAAAAGTTTTGGTATTTAAGAAATTTTGTAAATATTAACGAATTTTTAGAATATTTTTGGTATTTCTTAAGAATAATATTAAAATAATATTAAAAAATATTTTAAAATGGAAAATTAACCAAAAAATGGCCCAAATGTGGACCAAACACAGGCAGGATACAGCAAATGAGAGTACACACCAACAGAAGAGTCTTTTCTTTTTTAGAATATTTTTTAAGAATAATATTAAAATAATATTAAAAAATAATATTAAAAATAATATAAAAATAATATTAAAAAATAATATTAAAAAATAATATTAAAAAATAATATTAAAAATATTTTAAAATGGAAAATTAACCAAAAAATGGCCCAAATGTGGACCAAACACAGGCAAGAGACAGCAAATGAAGCAAGCAGCACTCACAGCAGCAAGGAATGAATCCAATCCCAGTTGCTAGCAGCCATTGCCAAGCCAACCCAATGCAAACTCCCTCGCCCTCTGCAGCAAGCTACGGGCCGCGCGGAGCCGCTTTGAAAGGGCTCGCCGGCCAATCAAAAACAGACAGCCACGGACCCATGGTGCACTGCTTGGGAGCGCCGGATTGGCTCCCAGGCACCAGCACTCCAGCAGCCTCCACCCCATTAACGAAACGAGCGGAGGCTCGTTAAAACTATGGAGGTTGCTGGTTCGATATTTAAAAACCCTTCCGGGTTTGGAAATATGTTTCAATATCGCTTCGGAAATGCCAAAAATAACGAATTAATAACGAATTAACGAATTAACGAACGAAACCGCACAGGCCTACTATCTATATATATAAAAATGCTCTGTGCATAATGAGTACCTTAAAAACAAAAACAAAAAACACTACAGGGCCAAATGACCCCAAATTCGGCAACAAAACTCCTCACAATCCAAGGAATGACCATTACTGAAAAAAAAACCCCACAAAACATCTTTAAATTAAAAAAAGGAAGAAAACTATATATTACTATATTAAATAAACTCATAGAATAGACTTAGAAGGGACTCTACCATGGTATTGGGGGAGAACAGACAGGAAGGAAGGAGAGAAGAAAGGAGGGAGGGAAAAGGGAAGGAATGAAGGAGGGAAAGGGGGAAGGAAGGAAAGAGAGAAGGAGGGAGGAAGAAGGAAAGAGGAAAAGGAAGGAGGGAAGGAAGGAAGGAAGAAGGAGGAAGGAGGAAGGAAGGAAGGAAAGAGGTACTGGAAGAAGGAAGAAGAGAAAGTACAAAGGAAAGAAAAAGGCAAGGAAAGGCAGGAAAGAAGTAAGTAAGGAAGGAAGGAAGGAAGGAAGGAAGGAAGGAAGGAAGGAGAAAAGGAAATTAAAAGTGAACAAGGGAGGAAAGTGGGAAGGAAGGAGACAAAGGAAGAAGTAGAGAAAGGGGGAGGGAAGGAAGGAAAGAGAGAAGGAAGGATGAAACCAAAGAGCGAAAGAAGGAATGAAAGAAACAGGTATAGAAGGAAGAAAGGAGAGGAAGGGGAAGGGGAAGAAAAAGGAGGGAAGGAATAGGTCGTTACCTCTCTTTCATAATAGTCCAGATATCTACTTCTACTTCGAAAATTCTTTCTATAGGCCACAGCAACGCGTGGCAGGGTACAGCTAGTATCCTATATATTAGCCCTGTGCATACTCATTATGAAATTAGGGGGTGGGGGGGAAAGAGTTTCTAAAATGTATTGTAACTATAACAAGTTAACTACTTTTTTGTTACTTTTCGTTAAGAAATTGTGCCAATGGGGGTGTGGGAAAAATAGTTCCTAAAGTGTTTCAAAAATTGGACGTGGTACGTATCATAACTATAACGAGTTAACTACTTTTTTGTTACTTTTCGTTAAGAAATTGTGCCAATGGGGATGTGGGAAAAATAGTTCCTAAAGTGTTTCAAAAATTGGACGTGGTACGTATCATAACTATAACGAGTTAACTACTTTTTTGTTACTTTTCGTTAAGTAATTGTGCCAATGGGGATGTGGGAAAAATAGTTTCTAAAGTGTTTCCAAAATTGGACAGGGTGCGTATCGTAACTATAATGAGTTAACTACTTTTTTGTTACTTTTCGTTAAGTAATTTTGCCAATGGGGGTGTGGGAAAAAATAGTTTCTAAAGTGTTTCCAAATTTGGACGGGGTCCGTATCATAACTATAACGAGTTAACTACTTTTTTGTTACTTTTCGTTAAGTAATTGTGCCAATGGGGGATGTGGGAAAAATAGTTTCTAAAGTGTTTCAAAAATTGGACAGGGTCTGTATCGTAACTATAACGAGTTAACTACTTTTTTGTTACTTTTCATTAAGTAATTGTGCCAATAGGGGTATGGGAAAATTGTTTCTAAAGTGTTTCCAAAATTGGATGGGGTCCGTATCGTAACTATAACAAGTTAACTACTTTTCGTTAAGTAATTGTGCCAATGGGGGTGTGGGAAAATTGTTTCTAAAGTGTTTCAAAAATTGGACGGGGTCCGTATCATAGCTATAACGAGTTAACTACTTTTTTGTTACTTTTCGTTAAGTAATTGCGCCAATGGGAGCGTGGGAAAAATAGTTTCTAAAGTGTTTTCAAAATTGGGTGGGGTCTGTATCATAACTATAACGAGTTAACTACTTTTTGTGACTTTTCATTAAGTAATTGTGCCAATGGGGAAACTTCAAGGGTTCCTTTCTCCCTCGTTGTTAGAGCTATTGGAATGAAACTTGCTACGATTATAGAACACATTTACCACTGTGAACCCACCAAGTTTCAGAATGTTTCACTCATATACTGATTTTTGGGGAATTTTCAAAGTTTTTACAAACAACATTTTAAAGAAACCTACAAGGGCGATCTCCTTGAATTTTCTCTACAATGACACAAGACAAACAGGGATCATTCTCCCCAAGTTTCAGAAAGATTCGTACATCTACTGATTTTTGAGATTTTTTAAAAAAATTTAACAAAATATGGGGTTTTTTTAAAGCCACAACAGGTATCTCATTGATACCATAAGATCACTTGAAGGCACCAGATCCTACCTGATCTTGGATGCTAAGCAGGGTCGGCCCTGGTTAATAATTGGATGGGAGACCACCAGCGAATCCTAGATACTGGAAGTCTTCCTTGACTAAGAAAAATGTATAAAATTCATTGAATTACCATAACATCACTTGAAGGCACAAGATCCTACCTGATCTTGGATGCTAAGCAGGGTCAGCCCTGGTTAATAATTGGATGGGAGACCACAAACTAATCCCAGATACTGGAAGTCTTCCTTGACTAAGAAAAACCCATGAAATTCATTGGAGTACCATAAGATCACTTGATGGCACCATATCCTACCTGATCTTGGAAGCTAAGCAGGGTCAGCCCTGGTTAATAATTGGATGGGAGACCACCAACAAATTCCAGATATTGGAAGTCTTCTTTGGCTAAGAAAAACCTATAAAATTCATTGGATTACCATAAGATGACTTGAAGGCACCAGATCCTACCTGATCTTGGATGCTAAGCAGGGTTGGCCCTGGTTAATAATTGGATGGGAGACTACCAACGAATCCCAGATACTGGAACTCTTCCTTGACTAAGAAAAACCTAATATATAATATAATATAATATAATAACCCTACATAATAATTAATGGGATCAGAAAAGTCACTAGGGGTTCCTTTTACATAAAGGCTGCAAACTAGAACTTCCAGAGCTTAAGAAATAAGGGAGTTTTTGGAGTGTAACTCCTAGAATTCCCTGACTAGTTGAAGAAAAAAGACTGGCATTGAATGCATCACATGCATTTCATGCTCAAAATTCATTTTATGCCGGTCTCCTCCCTGGGTTTATGCAAAACGTCACGGATCAATAGGCTTTTCACATTGTTTTTCACAGTCCCATGTTGTTTTGGGGGCTTATTTTAGCTTTTTTCATTGCTTTATGCAACCTCTTACATTTCATGCCTTCTAGAGGCTGAAAAGTCATCATGTTTTCCATCCTTCCCTTTGGAGAGACATACCTCCTGGAATTGTTGTTTCAAAGGCTGGAATCACTGGGTTGCTGAGTGTTTTTCAGGCTGTATACCCATGTTCCAGCAGTATTCTCTCCTAACATTTTGGCTGCATCTAGGGCTGATGACATCATCGGAGGATTGTTGGAAGTGAAGCAAATAGAGTGTATATAGTTGGTTGTTGTAGGTCAGTGTTTCTCAACCTGGGGGTCGGGACCCCTGAGGGGGGCGAAGGGGTGTCAGAGGGGTCGCCAAAGACCATAAGAAAACACAGTATTTTCTGATGGTCATGGGGATTCCATGTGGGAAGTTTGAGCCAATTCTATCGTTGGTGGAGTTCAGAATGTTCTTTGATTGTAATGAACTATAAATCCCAGCAACTACAACTCCCAAAAGTCAAGGTCTATTTTCCCCAGGCTCCACCAGTGTTCACATTTGCGCATATTGAGTATTTGTGCCAAGTTTGGTCCAGATCCACGTGCTCTCTGGATATAGGTGAACTACAACTCCCAAACTCAAGGTCAATACCCACCAAACCCTTCCAGTGTTTTCTGTTGGTCATGGGAGTTCTGTGTGGCAAATTAGGTTCAAATCCATCGCTGGTGGAGTTCAGAATGCTCTTTGATTATAGGTGAACTATAAATCCCAGCAACTACAACTCCCAAATTACAAAATCAATCCTCCCCTAACCCCACTAGCATTTACATGTGGTTGCATTGGGTATTTGTGCCCAGTTTGGTCCAGTGAATGAAAATACATCTTGCATATCTGATATTTACATGATTTATAACAGTGGTAAAATGACTGTTATGAAGTAGCAACGAAAACAATATTATGGTTGGGGGTCACCACAACATGAGGGACTGTATTAAGGGGTCACGGCATTAGGAAGGTTGAGAACCACTGTTATAGATGATCCCGCTAAATGCTCTTTGATTGTAGGTCAGTGGTTCCCAACCTTCGTAATGCCGCGACCCCTTAATACAGTGCCTCACGTTGTGGTGACCCCCAACCATAAAATTATTATTATTGCTACTTCCTAATTATAATTGTGTTACTGTTATGAATCATAATGTAAAAATCTGAAATGCAGGATGTATTTTCATTCACTGGACCAAATTTGGCACAAATACCCAAAAACAGCGCTCCATGCCGTCACGTCAGCCACATGACCTTGGAGGTGTCTATGAACAACACCGGCTCTTTGGCCTAGAAATTGAGCACCAACTCCCAGAGTTGGACACGACTGGACTTAATGTCAGGGGTAAACTTTTACCTTACGTTATCCAATATGCCCAAATTTGAATACTGGTGGGGTTGGAGGGAAAATTGATTATGTCATTTGGGAGTTGTAGTTGCTGGGATTTATAGTTGACCTACAATTAAAGAGCATTTTGAACTCCACCAATGATGGAATTGGACCAAACTTGGCACACAGAACTCCCACAACCAACGAAAAATACTGGAAGGGTCTGGTGAGTACTGACCTTGAGTTTGGGAGATGTAGTTCACCTGCATCCAGAGAGCATTGCAGACTCACACAATGATGGATCTGGACAACACTTGGCACAGATACTCAATATGCCCCAGTGTGAACACTGGTGGAGTTTGGGGAAAATACACCTTGACATTTGGGATATGCAGTTGCTGGGATTTATAGTTCACCTGCAACGAAGAGCCCTCGCTTGCTCCGCACCCCTGCCATCAGAAGATGAGGGACAGGTGGATGGCTTCGCGCGGGAATGCCAGTGGCGCAGGGGGTCGGCCACCATTTTGGAGGGAGCGTGGCCAGCCAATGCGGCTTCGCGACCCCCAGAAAATGGCCAAATGACCCCCCGAGGGGTCGCGACCCCAAGGTTGAGAACCGCTGTTCTAGAAGCATTCTCTCCTGACGTTTCACCTGCATCTATGGTAGGCTTTGTCGAAGGCTTCCATGGCTGGAATCACTGGGTTGCTGAGAGTTATTTGGGCTGTATACCCATGTTCCAGCAGCATTCTCTCCTAACATTTAGTCTGCATCTTCGGCTGATGGCATCCTCAGAGGATTGTTGGAAGTGAAGCAAATAGAGTGTATATAGTGAGTTATCGTAGGTTTTTCAGGCTATATGGCCATGTTCTAAAAGCATTCTCTCCTGACGTTTCATCTCCATCTATGGAAGGCATCCTCAGAGGTTGTGAGGTCTGTAGAAAACTAGGAAAGTTGGGTTTATATATCTGTGGAATAATATTCAGGGTGGGAGAAAGAACTCTGGTCTTGAAGGAGTCTCAAGCCTGTAGTAGATTTGCTTTGAAAAGGAGCAACATGTCAACATCAGGGTGGAAATGCTCCAAGAAATTGTGTGTTCTGCAATAGATAAGCTAGTCGTGAAAGTAGGGCTTGCTGAACATGGGCTGAACATGGGCCGGGACTTGAGTGGCAACAGATATTTGGCTGAAATTTACTCCAGAAAACATGTGCAGTAGAAGCTTGACAGATAAGAAAAACCTATATAATAGGTGGTTATGTCGCACCTCAGAGTAGACTCACCTTGCTGAAATCACCAAAACCGCACACAGACTGAAGTCTTTGTAGTTTATTGAAAAATAAAAGATAAAAGTTCATAAAAGCAAGTAATGTTCCAAAAGGTCAATAAGGCATAGCACTGTAAAGCAGGATTCCAAGAGACACCAACAAAACAATCTCTCATGAGAACATGACAAAACCCCAAGACCATGGACACAAGAACTACAAGATAATCCAGGCAAATGAGCCCAAGCTGCTTGGTTGAGCGCAAAGTTGCTCTGACAAAGGTTTGCTTTCAAACACACTGCTTAATACCCTTTGCAAAACATGAAAGCATTTCTTTGGCCTCTTGTTGGCTATTCTCACACTCCTTCGAACTCTGAATTCCAAACGGTCAGCCCAATCTAAGGTTCCCATTTCATCAAGGTCAGGCTGCTCGTTAGAGTCAGCCTGGTTGCCTTCCTGCCTACTCTCAGGCTGAGAACTCTCCTCCTTCTCTGAGTCAATTTGCACCTGGCTAGTTTCAGTATCAAAAACATCCTTCCCTGCTGTGGGAAACCGAACTTGCACCCATTGTTCCTCATTGTCTACAACAGGAACATTTTGAACCTGATTGTGAACCTGAATCCCATCATCCTCGTCAGAGTCACTCTCAGACCCCATCTGAGTCACAACACTATCAGTCTGTGGTTCCAGCTGAGTCACAACTGGTTAAGGGGTGTGGAGGACGGGGGGGCGGCAGCCTTTTCAAGTACTATGTGTGTGCGGTACGGCTGATCAGTCTCCTTACGGCCACAATGGAATAAACCTTGCTTTTGATCTACTCCTGAGACTGGATATTTTGCCTGTTTCATAGAATCATAGAATCAAAGAGTTGGAAGAGACCTCCTGGGCCATCCAGTCCAACCCCATTCTGCCAAGAAGCAGGAATATTGCATTCAAATCACCCCTGACAGATGGCCACCCAGCCTCTGTTTCAAAGCCTCCACCACACTCCGGGGCAGAGAGTTCCACTGCTGAACGGCTCTCACAGTCAGAAATCCTTTGTTTGCCTCCTGCGACCGGGCCTTCAATAGGGGCCCAAATTTGGGGTCCTTTACAGTCTGTTGGAGGCAAGTGTGAATGTTTCAAGTGGCCATCTTGATTAGCATTTGATGGCCTGGCAGTTTTTAGGGTTCCTTGTTACCATCTGGAGGAATTCTTTGTTGAGAGGTGATTAGCTGTCCCTGATTGTTTCTTGTCTGGAGTTCCCCTGTATTTGAGTGTTATTCTTTATTTGCTGTTATAATTTTAGAATTTTTTTAGTACTGATAGCCAGATTGTGTTCACTGGGTTGTTGTAGGTTTCTTCGAGCTATATGGCCATGGTCTAGAGGCATTCTCGCCTGACGTTTCGCCTGCATCTATGGCAAGCATCCTCAGAGGTTGTGAGGTCTGTTGGAACGAGGAAAATGGGTTTATAGTATATCTGTGGAATGACCAGGGTGGGACAAAGAACTCTTTGTCTATTAGAGCTAGGTGTGAATGTTTCAACTGACCACCTTGATTAGCATATAATGGCCTGACAGTGCCTGGAGCAAACTTTTGTTGAGAGGTGATTAGATGTACTTGTTTTGTTTATTAGACATTTGTCTCTTTGTCTATTAGAGCTAGGTGTGAATGTTTCAACTAACCACCTTCATTAGCATTTGATGGCCTGGCAGTTGTTTGGTGTGGCTTGTTGGTGCTTGGGGCAATCTTTTGTTGGGAGGAGATTGTGTTCATTTTCATGGTTTCTTCCTTTCTGTTGACATTGCCCACATGCTTGTGGATTTCAGTGGCTTCTCTGTGTAGCCTGACATGGTGGTTGTGAGAGTGGTCCATCATTTCTGTGTCCTCCAATAATATGCTGTGTCTAGGTTGGTTCATCAGGAGCTCTGCTATGGCTGACTTCTCTGGCTGAATCAGTCTGCAGTGCCTTTCATGTTCCTTGATTGGTGCTTGGGCAATGCTGCGTGTGGTGGTCCCAGCTGCAAGGCTACTCAGTGCTAAGCGAGCTTGCTAATTGCAGCATTCACACTTGCTTCAGACAGACAAGGGTTCTTTCTCCCTGAACATCATTCCACGGATGTATATACACCACACTTTCCTCATTTCCAACAGACCTCTGAACAAACCTCTGAGGATGTTTGCCACACATGCAAGTGAAGCCTCGGGAGAGAATGCTGCGGGAGCATGGCCATACAGCCCAAAAAACTCACCGTCGATTGTATTTTGGGATATTCTTTCCATTTGTGATTTCAAGAAGCCTTTCTGCTCCTTCTCTTAATTTCGCTGATTTGCTCACAGGTCCATGGAGGAGATTCCCGGCTGCGCGTTGGATGCTCACCCAGACACAACCGAAGCGGTGCTGAGCCTGAAGCGGAGCCATGCAGGCCAGAGGCTGCGCATAGAGAGCACCAATGGGGAGGTGAGCTTCCTTTGGTCTTTCGGTCCTGGCTTCGAGAACACAACCAAGCCATAGGTTCACATTGCAAGGGAAAAGGTTCCACTTAAACATTAGGCAGAACGAATGTTTATTTCAAAACCTCCAGAGAAGGTGGCTTCACCACAAGCCAAGGCAATATAATTCCAGCTCTCACCATCTGGAAGTTCTGGCATCTGTCAGGAGGGCTTGGATTGTGCCTCCCTTCCTGGCAAAAGAGGAGCTGGGCTGGATGATCTTTAGGGGATCCCTTGCAACTCTAGGAGTCTATGATCTTTCGGTATGGAAACATTGAACGGATGATTGTGGAGACTCCTTCTCTGGATGGCCATCTGTCAGGAGTACTTGGGTTGTGTCTTTACACATGGCAAAATGGTTTGGATGACCTTTGGGAGTCTCCTTCTCTGGAATGTTTGAAACAGAGGCTAGATGGCCATCTGTCAGGAGGGCTTGGATTGTGCCTCCCTTCCTGGCAGAAGGGGGACTGGGCTGGATGACCTCTATGGGATCCCTTCCAACTCTAGGAATCTATGATCTTTCGGTATGGAAACATTGAACAGATGATAGTGGAGTCTCCTTCTCTGGATGGTCATCTGTTGGGAGTGCTTGGATTGTGTCTTTACACACTGCAAAATGGATTGCAAGGTTTTAAACAGAGGCTGGATGGCCATCTGTCGGGAGTGCTTGGATTGTGTCTTTACACATCACAAAATGGATTGGAAGTTTTTAAACAGAGGCTGGATGGCTATCTGTCAGGAGGGCTTGGATTGTGCCTCCCTTCCTGGCAAAAGAGGGGTGGCCCTGGATGACCTTTAGGGGATCCCTTCCAACTCTAGGACTCTGTTATCTTTCGGTATGGAAACATTGAATGGATGGTGGTGGAGTCTCCTTCTCTGGATGGCCATCTGTCGGGAGTGCTTGGATTGTGTCTTTACACACTGCAAAATTGATTGGAAGGTTTTAAACAGGCTGGATGGCCATCTGTCAGGAGGGGTTTGATCTTGACTGGAAATATAGACTGCCTTGAAGTCTGATGGAGTCTCCTTCTCTGGAAGCTTTGAAACAGAGGCTGAATGGCCATCTGTCGGGAGGGTTTTCATTTCCTACCTGGCCGAAGGACTTTAGGGAGGAAGTCTACTATTCTATGAACCTTCATTATGGAAACACCAAAGGTGGTATTATGGTGGTGGAAGCCCCTTCTACACTATCCTTTTATTCCAGGTTCTGATCCCAGGTAATCTGTTTTGAGCTGGATTATATGAGTCTCCACTGCTGTCTAATCTGGGATAGGCAGATAATCTGCGATCAGATCCTGGGATATAATGATAGTGTAGAAGAGATTGTAGTCTTCTCTAGAGGTTTTGAAACAGAAGCTGGATGACCATCTGTTAGGAGGGGTCAGATTGTGCCTTCCTTCCTGGCAGAAAGGGGATTGGGCTGGATGACCTTTAGGGATCCCTCCCAACTTTATGATTCTATGACTATTCACTATGGAAACATTGAATGGATGGTGATGGAGCCTCCTTCTCTGGATGGCCGTCTATCGGGAGTGCTCGGATTGAGTTACTACACATGGCAAAATGGATTGGATTACCTTTGGGAGTCTCCTTCTCTGGAAGGTTTGAAACAGAGGCTAGATGGCCATCTGTCAGGAGGGCTCAAAATGTGCCTCCCTTTCCTGGCAGAAAGGGGACTGGGCTGGATGACCTTTAGGGCTCTTCCAAGTCTATGATTCTATGACCTTTAACTATGGAAACATTAAACGGATGGTGGTGAAGCCTCCTTCTCTGGATGGCCATCTGTCGGGAGTGCTCGGGTTGAGTCATTACACATGGTGAAATGGATTGGATGACCTTTAGGGGTCCCTTTCGACTCTCAGATTCTACAGGTTCCATGAATCCTGTTTCAGAGCCCTTGAATGTATTGCGTTTCCATATAGGGTTCCTTCACTATATAGGGTTAAACCCTTGTGCCGACTGAACTGCTGACCTGAACACCTGAATGTCGGTAGTTCGAATCCGGGAGAGGGGGTGAGCTCCTGTCTGTCAGCCCCAGCTTTCCATGCAGGGACATGAGGAGAAACCTCCCAAAGGATGGTAACACATCTGGGCATCCCCTGGGCAATGTCCTTGCAGACGGTCAATTCTCTCACACCAGAAGCGACTTGCAGTTTATTCTCAATTCATTTCAGACACAATTAAAAAAAACTAATTCATTTCAATAGGGATTTTGTTTTGTATGCCTTCAAGTGGTTTCTGACTTAGGGAAACTCTAAAAAAATCCCGAGTCTTGCATTAATGCTAAATTCAGTCTTTTGGGTGGGATTTCTCTCCCTTTTCTTGCAGCTGGCCTACAAGATCTATGAGCGGAACATGTTGCTCAGAGCGAAAGGGGACACGTTGGAGGAGCAGAAAGACAGGTGAGAATTACGTTGACCTCACAGCAGGCTTGGAAATTACACTATAGTATGTCACAAAATTTGAAAAATGTTGTTTTCCTAGCTTGGAAGTGTTATTTCCTGTTTAGTTGTGCAGTCCTTACTTTCAAAGTAGTTATTCTATAGGCCTCCGATATGCAGATGATAATGTGGTGTGTGTGCATTCAGAAGATCTATAACATCAGTTATTGAGCTCCAGTATGCTGATGATAATGTAGTCTGTGTGCATTCAGAGGAAGTCCTACAAGCCACTCTAAACACCTTTGCAGAAGCATACGAGTAGCTCGGCGTCTCATTGGACATTGAGAATACCAAAGTGCTGTTCCAGCAGTCACCAGCCAATCCTTCTCCAATGCCAGAGATACAGCTTAATGGTGTAACATTAGAAAATGTTGACCATTTCTGCTCCCTTGGCAGCCACCTCACCACAAAAGTCAACATTGACACTGAAATACAACACCGCCTGAGCTCTGCGAGTGCAGCATTTTTCCTAATGAAGCAGAGAGTGTTTGAGGGCCGAGACATCCATAGGGAGACTAAGGTGCTTGTTTATAAAACTATTGTCCTCCCAACCCTGCTATATGCCTGCGAAATGTGGACTGTCTACAGACGTCAATGTTGAGGGTGAAATACAACACCGCCTGAGCTCTGCAAGTGCAGCATTCTTCCGAATGAAGCAGAGAGTGTTTGAGGACCGGGACATCCAGAGAGAGACTAAGATGCTTGTTTATAAAGCTATTGTTCTCCCAACCCTGCTATATGCCTGCGAAACGTGGACTGTCTACAGACATCAACATTGAGGCTGAAATACAACACCGTCTGAGCTCTGCGAGTGCAGCATTTTTCCAAATGAAGCAGAGAGTGTTTGAGGACCAGGACATCCGTAGGGAGACCAAGGGGCTTGTTTATAAAGCTATTGTTCTCCCAACCCTGCTATATGCCTGCGAAACGTGGACTGTCTACATACGTCAACATTGAAGCTGAAATACAACACCGCCTGAGCTCCGCAAGTGCAGCATTTTTCCAAATGAAGCACAGAGTGTTTGAGGACCGGGACATCCGAAGGAAGATGAAGGGGTTTGTTTATAAAGCTATTGTCCTCCCAACCCTGCTATACGCCTGCGAAGCGTGGACTGTCTATAGACATCAACATTGAGGCTGAAATACACCACCTGAGCTCCGCAAGTGCAGCATTTTTCCAAATGAAGCACAGAGTGTTTGAGGACCAGGACATCCAGAGGGATACCAAGGGGCTTGTTTATAAAGCTATTGTCCTCCTAACCCTGCTATACGCCTGCGAAACGTGGACTGTTTACAGACGTCAACATTGAGGCTGAAATACAACACTGCCTGAGCTCTGTGAGTGCAGCATTTTCCCAAATGAAGCATGGAATGTTTGAGGACCGGGACATCCATAGGGAGACTAAGGTGCTTGTTTATAAAGCTGTTATTCTCCCAACCTTGCTATATGCCTGAGAAACGTGAACTGTCTATAGACATAAACATTGAAGCTGAAATACAACACCGCCTGAGCTCTGCGAGTGCAGCATTTTTCCGAATGAAGCACAGAGTGTTTGAGGACCAGGACATCTGTAAGGAGACCAAGGTGCTTGTTCATAAAGCTACTGTCCTCCCAACCCTGCTATATGCCTGCGAGACGTGGACTGTCTACAGACGTCACATGCAACCCCTAGAACGATTCCATAAACGCTGCCTCCTGCAAATCTCTTGGGAAGACATGCGGAAAAATGTCAGTGTGGCGGAAGAAGAAGCAAAGACCACCAGCATTGAAGCAATGGTCCTCCACCATCAACTCTGCTGGACCGGCCATGTTGTCTGGATGCCCGACCAACATCTCCCAAAACAATTGGTCTACTCCAAACTCAAGAATAGAAAACGGAATGTTGATGGGCAGGAAAAGAGATTGAAATATGGGCTCAAAGCCAGCCTTAAAAACTCTGGCATAGACACCAAGAACTGGGAAGCCCTGGCCCTTGAGCACTCCAGCAGGAGGTCAGCTGTGACCAGCAGTGATGTAGAATTCGAAGAGGCACGAATGGAGGGTGAAAGAGAGAAACGTGCCAAGAGGAAGGCGCGTCAAGCCAACCCCGACCAGGACCACCTTCTACCTGGAAACCGATGCCCTCACTGTGGGAGAAGATGCGGTCAAGAATAGGACTCCACAGTCACCTACTCCACCGTCACCAGGACACCGAACTTGGAGGACAATCTTACTCAGACAATGAGGGATTGTATAACAGTTGGGACTTGATGGACTATTCATTGCAAAACTATAGCAAACCATGCTGGAGGATGGCCCTCCTGGAAAAACAAAGTTTGGGCAGTTTCGTAAACTTTTTTTCCCATGTGTTTATGATAGAAACCAATTCAGAAATGATCTTTATAACTCAGGAACCAATATTCTATTAAGCGGTGTTGTTTGTTTCAGGGTTGAAAAACAGGTTTCCATATGATTCGGAAGCCCTGTAGATCAGAAAAAGAAGAATAGGTGTTTGCACACTACTCAAGCAACTTAATAGTCTTGCGGAGGAATTATTGGGTGGAGGGAAAAAAAAACATTTTTTCCTGACCATTTCTTCTTCCATCCAAAAATGTGCAAACTGAGCGTTTTTTAAAACTCCAATGATCACCCAAGACAAAGAAGAAGGAGAAGGAGAAGAAGAATCATAGAATCAAAGAGTTGGAAGAGACCACATGGGCCATCCAGTCCACCCCCATTCTGCCAAGAAGCAGGAATATTGCATTCAAATCACCCCTGACAGATGGCCATCCAGCCTCTGTTTCAAAGCTTCCAAAGAAGAAGCCTCCACCACACTCCGGGGCAGAGAGTTCCACAGCTGAACGGCTCTCACAGTCAGGAAGTTCTTCGTCATGTTCAGATGGAATCTCCTCTCTTGTAGTTTGAAGCCATTATTCCCTTGCGTCGTAGTCTCCAGGGCAGCAGAAAGGAAGCTTGCTCCCTCCTCCTCCCTGTGGCTTCCACTCACATATGGCTATCATATCCCCTCTCAGCCTTCTCTTCTTCAGGCTAAACATGCCCAGCTGCTTAAGCCGCTCCTCATAGGGCTTGTTCTCCAGACCCTTGATCATTTTAGTCGCCCTCCTCTGGACACATTCCAGCTTGTCAATATCTCCCTTCAATTGTGGTGCCCAGAATTGGACACAATATTCCAGGTGTGGTCTAACCAAGGCAGAATAGAGGTAGCATGACTTCCCTGGATCTACACACTATGCTCCTATTGATGCAGGCCAAAATCCCATTGGCTTTTTTTGCCGGCGACATCACATTGTTGGCTCATGTTTAACTTTGTATTTCTAGGTGCAAAGAGTACTGCAGATGCAGACTGTGGCCAGGAAATCAGAAGACGCTTACTTCTTGGGAGGAGAGCAATGTCCAATCTTGATAAAATAGTGAAGAGTAGAGACATCACATTGGCGACAAAGATCCATTGCCTAGTCAAAGCCATGGTCTTCCTCGTAGCAACCTACGGATGTGAGAGCTGGACCTTAGGGAAGGCTGAGCGAAGGAAGATAGATGCCTTTTGAACTGTGGTGTTGGAGGAAAGTTCTGAGAGTGCCTTGGACAGCGAGAAGATCCAACCAGTCCATACTTCGGTAAATAAAGCCCGACTGCTCATTGGAAGGAAGGATATTAGAGGCAAAGTGAAGTACTTTGGCCACATCATGAGGAGACAGGAAAGCTTAGAGAAGACAATTATGCTGGGGAAAATGGAAGGAAAAAGGAAGATGGACCGACCAAAGGCAAGATGGATGGATGGCATTCTTGAAGTGACTGGATTGACCTTGATGGAGCTGGGGGTGGTGACGGCTGACAGGGAGCCTGGCGTGGGCTGGTGCATGAGGTCAGGAAGAGTCGGAAATGACTGAACGAATGAACAACTCCCCACGAGGACTCCAAGATCTTTTTCACACGTACTGCTCTCGAGCCAGGCGTCCCCCATTCTGTATCTTTGCATTTCATTTTTTCTGCCAAAGTGGAGTATCTTGCATTTGTCACTGTTGAACTTCATTTTGTTAGTTTTGGCCCATCTCTCTAATCTGTCAAGATCCCTTTGAATCCTGCTCCTGTCCTCTGGACTATTGGCTATCCCTCCCAATTTGGTGTCGTCTGCAAACTTGATGATCATGCCTTCTAGCCTTTCATCTAAGTCGTTAATAAAGATGTTGAACAGGACCGGGCCCAGGACGGAACCCTGAGGCACTCCACTTGTCACTTCTTTCCAAGATGAAGAGGAAGCATTAGTGAGCACTCTCTGTGTTCGTCCACTTAACCAATTCCAGATCCACCTCACCGTAGTTTTGCCTAGCCCACATTGGACTAGTTTCCTTGCCAGAAGGTCATGGGGGACCTTGTCGAAGGCCTTACTGAAATCCAGGTACGCTACATCCACGGCATTCCCCGAATCTACCCAGCTTGTAGCTCTATCGAAGAAAGAGATCAGATTAGTCTGGCATGACTTGTTTTTGATAAATCCATGTTGACTATTAGCGATGACTGCATTTGTTTCTAAGTGTTTGCAGACCGCTTCCTTAACAATCTTTTCCAGAATCTTGCCCGGTATCGACGTGAGGCTGACCGGACGGTAGTTGTTTGGGTCGTCCTTTTTTCCCTTCTTGAAGATTGGGACCACATTGGCCCTCCTCCAATCTGCTGGAACTTCAAAGATGGTTGCCAATGGTTCCGAAGAAGAAGAAGAAGAAGAAGAAGTATTAGACCTGGCAGACTGTGCAAAAAGAATCTGTGAACCCCACCTCCTCCAAGACGAACTAGAATTTACAGGCCAATGGAGACTCCATTTCAGACATCAGAAGAGCTGCAAGACCGAAAACAAGCCACGAGAGTCAAGACCAAGATCCACCCAGAGGAAAAGTGACCAGGCTGTGGCACAATTAGTTAGTAGGCAGCTGTATTAAATCACCACTGACCGAGAGGTCATAAGTTTGAGGCCAGCCCAGGCCGGAGTGAGCTCCCGACCATGAATAGTCTAGCTTGCTGTTGACCTATGCTACCCGAAAGACAGTTACATCTGTCAAGGAGGGAATTTAGGTACCGCTTTATGCGGGGAGGCTAATTTAACTAATTTATGACATCATAAAACCTTCCAGCAGCATGCATAAGAATGAGGAAGTACTCCATCAAGGACTCGGTGTCACAAGTGGACGGTGAAGCGGAATCCTGTGGTCGGAATCGAGCATATACCCTTATGAAGCTGGAAAAGCTGGAGTGTTAAATTGCCTCTCTGTCTGTCTATATACGTTGTTTGTCTAAATAGCATTGAATGTTTGCCATGTATATGTGCAAACATGTGCAACCTCCCGACCATTAATAGTCTAGCTTGCTGTTGACCTACGCAGTCCAAAAGACAGTTGCATCAGTCAGGTAGGAAATTTAGGTACATCTTTATCTGAAGAGGCTAATTTAACTAATTTACGACCCCATAAAACCTTCCAGCAGCGTGCAGAAGAATGAGGAAGTACTCCATCAAGGACGGTGAAGTGGAATCCTGTGGTCGGAATTGAGCATATACTCTCATGAAGTTGGAAAAGCTGGAGTTGTAAATTGCCTCTGTGTCTGTCTATATATATTGTATGTCTAAATAGTTTTGAACGTTTGCTAATTATATGTGCAAACATGTGCAAGCTCCCGACCATTAATAGTCTAGCTTGCTGTTGACCTTTGCAGCCTGAAAGACAGTTGCATCTGTCAGGTAGGAAATTTAGGTACCACTTTATGCGGAGAGGCTAATTTAACTAATTTATGATGCCATAAAACCTTCCAGCAGCATGCATAAGAATGAGGAGGTGCTCCATCAAGGACTCGGTGTCACAAGTGGATGGTGAAGCGGAATCCTGTGGTCGGAATCGAGCATATACCCTCATGAAGCTGGAAAAGCTGGAATGTTAAATTGCCTCTGTGTCTGTCTATCTATGTTGTTTGTCTAAGTGGCATTGAATGTTTGCCATGTATATGTGCAAACATGTGCAACCTCCCGACCATTAATAATCTAGCTTGCTGTTGACCTACGCAGCCCGAAAGACAGTTACATCTGTCAAGTAGGAAATTTAGGTACCGCTTTATGCGGAGAGGCTAATTTAACTAATTTATGATGCCATAAAACCTTCCAGTAGCATGCAGAAGAATGAGGAAGTACTCCATCAAGGACGGTGAAGTGGAATCCTGTGGTCGGAATCAAGTATATACCCTCATGAAGCTGGAAAAGCTGGAGTTTTGAATTGCCTCTGTGTCTGTCTATATATGCTGTTTGTCTTAAGTGGCATTGAATGTTTGCCATGTATATGTGCAAACATGTGCAACCTCCCGACCATTGATAGTCTAGCTTGCTGTTGACCTATAATAATAACTTTATTTATAGACCGCCCTCTCTCGCCAAGGGAACTCGTGTCGGTTTACATTCAAAGAAGGCAGACATTCAATGCCTGAACTCAAATACAAATATTTTAAAACAAACAGAATAGTACAAAAATAATAACCATAAAATTGTGACAAAAGAGAAATTAACACCAAAATGAGGACCAAATACAAATAATCGAATAAACCTAATTATACTAATAACAGCAATTAACCATTTAAACATAAAGCCAATTATGAAAGCCAATTAAAATACATTAAAATGACTTTCAAGGTTGTTCTTCTCATGTACCACAGCAGCAGGTTAGCCAGCATTACGGTGGAACTGAAATGTCCTCCTCCTCCTCCTCCTCCTCCTCCTCCTCCTCCTCCTCCTCCTCCTCCTCCTCCTCCTCCAGCCCTAAATACAGTTGAATCTGTCAAGTAGGAAATTTAGGTACCACTTTATGTGGGGAAGCTAATTTAACTAATTTACGACCCCATAAAACCTTCCAGCAGCGTGCAGAAGAATGAGGAAGTACTCCATCAAGGACTCACATGTCACAAGTGGACGGTGAAGCGGCAGCTCCCCCTGTGGCCGGAATCGAGCATACCCTCATGAAGCCAGAAAAAGCTGGAATGTTAAATTGCCTCTGTGTCTGTTTATATATGTTGTATGTCTAAATGGCATTGAATGTTTACCATGTATTAGGCATGGGCAATCCATGGTTCTAAAGTACTTACAAAACTAGGGAGCGCTGGTGCTTTGTTTCTAAAGTGTTGCTAAAGCTGGTGCTTTGCTTCTAAAGTGTTTCTAAAGTTCTGGTGGTGAAAATTTCAGAACTCTAACAAAACTTTGCAAATGTCATTATTACTTCGTTATTGGCGATTTTTATGATGGAACCAATTAGGAACTGCCATTTATAACAAAATTTTGAAAGCTTTGTTAGAGTTCTGAAATTTTCACCACCAGAACTTTAGAAACACTTTAGAAGCAAAGCACCAGCGCCCCCTAGTTTTGTAAGGCTGTTAGGAATTGTGGAAGTTGGAGTCCAAAACACCGGGAGGGAGGGCCAAAGTTTGCCCATGCCTGGTGTAAATGCACACTACTACGCATGTTACTGTTTTGCTTCTATATTTCCCAGAAAACCAGTGCAAAGAGACAACTAAAAGCCTTGGTTTGTTCTGCTCCAGGTTGGTCTACCTGGAAGGTGAGCTCTCCAGCCTGGAGTCTGCGCGGGACCAGCTCCGGGGCCAAGTCTCAGATCTGGACCTCAGGAATGTCGACTTGAAGGAGGCGTATGATGCGCTGCGACGGCGCTATTGGCACGGAGAAGATGCCTTTCGTCAGGCGGCCGAGAAGGGAGCAGAGCTGCTCCACGGCCTCATGCAAAGCAAGGTGGACGCAGCCGAGCATCAAAATGAGCGCATTGAGAGGTGAGCCACTTCCATAGAAAGTTAGCAATACAATATGTGTAGAAGATGTTGGAAATACCAACCTCCACTAGTTTAATTGTTTGTATATAATTCAGATTGTTTACTGTATTGTATATATGTGTATTGGTTTTCAGTTTTCCTTAGCTCTTTGTTGTGGGTGGGATTGTTCAGAACTCAGACTCCATTTTAGAACCAGTGTCCTATTGTATGTCAGCCTGTTCAGCCTGGGATTATGAGAATAGGAACTGGGATTGTTCAGGACTCAGACTCCATTTTAGAAACAATATGCTATTGTATGTCAGCCTGTTCAGACTGTGATTATATTGATGTTCATGATGAGAATAGGATCTGGGATTGTTCAGGACTCAGACTCCATTTTAGAAACAATATGCTATTGTATGTCAGCCTGTTCAGCCTGTGATTATATTGATGTTCATGATGAGAATAGGATCTGGGATTGTTCAGGACTCAGACTCCATTTTAGAAACAATATGCTATTGTATGTCAGCCTGTTCAGACTGTGATTATGTTGATGTTCATGATGGGAATAGGATCTGGGATTGTTCAGGACTCAGACTCCATTTTAGAAACAATATGCTATTGTATGTCAGCCTGTTCAGCCTGTGATTATATTGATGTTCATGATGAGAATAGGATCTGGGATTGTTCAGGACTCAGACTCCATTTTAGAAACAATATGCTATTGTATGTCAGCCTGTTCAGACTGTGATTATGTTGATGTTCATGATGAGAATAGGATCTGGGATTGTTCAGGACTCAGACTCCATTTTAGAAACAATATGCTATTGTATGTCAGCCTCTTCAGCCTGTGATTATGTTGATGTTCATGATGGGAATAGGATCTGGGATTGTTCAGGACTCAGACTCCATTTTAGAAACAGTATGCTATTATATGTCAGCCTCTTCAGCCTGTGATTATTTTGATGTTCATGATGGGAATAGGATCTGGGATTGTTCAGGACTCAGACTCCATTTTAGAACCAGTGTCCTATTGTATGTCAGCCTGTTCAGCCTGGGATTATGAGAATAGGAACTGGGATTGTTCAGGACTCAGACTCCATTTTAGAAACAATATGCTATTGTATGTCAGCCTGTTCAGACTGTGATTATATTGATGTTCATGATGAGAATAGGATCTGGGATTGTTCAGGACTCAGACTCCATTTTAGAAACAATATGCTATTGTATGTCAGCCTGTTCAGCCTGTGATTATATTGATGTTCATGATGAGAATAGGATCTGGGATTGTTCAGGACTCAGACTCCATTTTAGAAACAATATGCTATTGTATGTCAGCCTCTTCAGCCTGTGATTATGTTGATGTTCATGATGGGAATAGGATCTGGGATTGTTCAGGACTCAGACTCCATTTTAGAAACAGTATGCTATTATATGTCAGCCTCTTCAGCCTGTGATTATTTTGATGTTCATGATGGGAATAGGATCTGGGATTGTTCAGGACTCAGACTTTATTTTAGAAAGAGTATGCTTTCAGATGCAAGTAGAAGCAGAAGCCATTAGACTTTCAATGTAGAAACAGTGCAGTTTAGAAGTGAGTAGAAACAGAATGCTTTCGAGAACTGATTCCATGAGACTCTGTTAGACTCTCAGACCAGAGAAATGTTTTGCCCTGTGTTACTGGCATGGAGAAACTACTTCCAATCCTATCTGTAACTGGATTGATATACAAAGTACCTGTATGCTGAATACATGAAGTTTGTGAGTAAACCAACTATGTTACTTTTAAAGAAGTCTACTTATTTTTGGTTTCTTGAGAGCATGGTTTAAACCAAGATGTTTTAATAATAATAATAATAATTATATATATATATATATATATATATATATATATATATATATATCCCATCCTTCTCACCCTGAAGGGGACTCAGGGCAGATCACAGTACACATACATGGCAAAAATTCAATGCTGCTTTGTATAGACAAAATACAGACAGACACAACAGAAGGAGGTGTGTTGTTTCGACTCAGTGTTCAGCTGTTTTGGTGCCGTGGAAAGTTGGGCTCGAGTCCAGCCATATCCTCTATGACGAAGAGCCGTCAGGACTTCCTCCTTTCTTATGGTCGCCCACCATTTTCTGATCTTCTTTCTTTATGGCATCGTAAAATACCTCCCCCACTTTTAGCGGTGCCTAATTTCTCCAATTATAGCCAAAGCTGTTTTCGACTGCTTAGGTAAACAGTGAGCAGGGCTGACAGTCAGGTGCTCATGCTGACCCAGGGCTTTGAACTTGCAACCATTTGGTTGATAGATCTTATAGTTGCTGGTGATTTACCAGCTGTGCTAAACCTCTGGACCTAGAATCATAGAATCAAAGAGTTGGAAGAGACCTCCTGGGCCATCCAGTCCAACCCCATTCTGCCAAGAAGCAGGAATATTGCATTCAAATCACCCCTGACAGATGGCCATCCAGCCTCTGCTTAAAAGCTTCCAAAGAAGGAGCCTCCACCACACTCCAGGGCAGAGAGTTCCACTGCTGAACAGCTCTCACAGTCAGGAAGTTCTTTCTCATGTTCAGATGGAATCTCCTCTCTTGTAGTTTGAAGCCATTGTTCCATTGCGTCCTAGTCTGCAAGGAAGCAGAAAGGAAGCTCCCTCCCTCCTCCCTGTGACTTCCTCTCACATATTCATACACGGCTATCATATCTCCTCTCATCCTTCTCTTCTTCAGGCTAAACATGCCCAGCTCCTTAAGCCGCTCCTCATAGGGCTTGTTCTCCAGACCCTTGATCATTTTAGTCGCCCTCCTCTGGACACATTCCAGCTTGTCAATCTCTCCCTTCAATTGTGGTGCCCAGAATTGGACACAGTATTCCAGGTGTGGTCTAACCAAGGCGGAATAGAGCATGGGGAGCAGGACTTCCCTGGATGTAGACACTAGGCTCCTATGTTTTTTGCACAACTGAAAGAACACTTCTGAAACTCTGCTATATATGTGTGTGTTTGTGTGTTTTATGCATTGGCATGTCTTTGTCCCTAACAGTTCAAAGAGATATCTAGGTATTTCACTTTAACAGCTGAGAGACCTAATTGCCTTGCATGAATACCCGTGGATATTTACCACTGAGGAGAGCGTTGACTCAAGCGCGTTTTTATTGGCTTGGATTTGAGGGATTTGTGCTCAGCAAAAATGTAACTTCCCAACAACTACAAAAATATTTCCTTCGATTTCAAATGAGTCTGAAATGGGCAAAGCCATGTGCTGCAGTGACCTCTGCTGGCCACTTGACAGAACAGCACATAGGTATCAAATAATTGGTTCGATGGTCTTTGAGTTGTAGGTTTTTCGGGCTATATGGCCATGTTCTAGAGGCATTCTCTTCTGACGTTCCACCTGCATCTATGACAAGCATCCTCAGAGGTAGTGAGGTCTGTTGGAACTAAGAAAATGGGTTTATATATCTGTGGAAAGACCAGGGTGGGACAAAGGACTCTTGTCTGCTGGAGCTAGGTGTGAATGTTTCAACTGACCACCTTGATTAGCATTTGATAGCCTGGCAGTGCCTGGAGCAATCTTTTGTTGAGAGGTGATTAGATGCTTTGATGGTCTTTGAGTTGTAGGTTTTTCGGGCTGTCTGGCCATGTTCTAGAAGCATTCTCTCCTGACGTTTCGCCTACATCTATGACAGGCATCCTCACAGGTTGTGAGGTTTGTTGGAAACTAGGAAAATTGGGTTTATATATCTGTGGAATGTCTAGGGCGGGAGAAAGAACTTTGTCATGAACATCAACATGAACATCAGAAATAATCACAGGCTGACATGCAACAGCATACTGGTTCTAAAATGGAGTCTGAGCCCTGAACAGGCCCAGATATGATCTCATGGTCTGCAACCCCTCCCAGATTTAAGGAAAACTTAACAATCAATACACACCTATACAATACAGTAAGCAATCTGAATTAAATACATAACAAATCACAAGTGTAGAAGGCTTGAAGGTTCTGGGTTTGAGCCTGCCACTTTTGGACTCTCGCTTGCTGGGGTGTTCCAGTGAGTGTCTCTGTAGATCTTAGAAAACTATTTCTTGATTTAAGTCATTGACATGCTGGCTGATACCCAAACAAGGGATGAGCTGGAGATGTCTCTGCCTTGGTTCTTTCACTATTGGCTGCTACTTCCCGGCGGATGTCAGGTGGTGCAATCCCGGCTAAGCAGTGTAATTTCTCCAGTGGTGTAGGGCGCAGACACCTCGTGATAATGCGGCATGTCTCATTAAGAGCCACATCCACTGTTTTAGTGTGGTGAGATGTGTTCCACACTGGGCATGCATACTCAGCAGCAGAGTAGCACAGCGCAAGGGCAGATGTCTTCACTGTGTCTGGTTGTGATCCCCAGGTTGTGCCAGTCAGCTTTCGTATGATATTGTTTCTAGTACCACTTTTTGCTTGATATTCAGGCAGTGCTTCTTGTAGGTCAGAGCACGGTCCAGACTGACTCCCAGGGATTTGGGTGCGCTGCAATGCTCCAGTGGGATACTGCCTTGTATCTCATAACGCTTCATTTGTAGTGTTGTTGCCGGTCTATATGAACATCATGTGCAGCCCTTCCCTGAAGAACGTTGATGATCCAAGCAAAGAGGGAGCTTTGGAGGTGAAGCTCTCATTTCCCAACATCTCCTAACCTTCTTCCTCCTTTTGCAGGGCGAAGCATGCCAGGGTGTGCAAGGAGCTGAAGAAGGCCACCAAGGCAAGGGTCAGCGTGAAAGTGTAAGTCACAAAAACACCAAAATAACACCATGTGTGTAACAAAACCCTTGTCGGCAAGCGTGATTAGCATGGAGTAGCTATGAAGTTTGCAAAGTCAATCAGTGAGGGTATCTGTATAGAGGTAGTAATAATAATAATAATAATAATAATAATTAACAGTCCTAATCACCTCTCAACAAAAGATTGCTCCAGGCAATGCTAATCAAGGTGGTTAGTTGAAACATTCACTCCTAGCTCCAGCAGACAAGAGTTCTTTGTCCCATCCTGGTCTTTCCACAGATATATTAACCCTTTTTCCTAGTTCCAACAGACCTCACTACCTCTGAGGATGCTTGCCATAGATGCAGGCGAAACGTCAGGAGAGAATGCTTCTAGAACATGGCCATATAGCCCGAAAAAACCTACAACAACCCAATAATAAACAACTTTATTTATACCCCGCCACCATCTCCCCAATGGGGACTCGGAGCGGCTTATATGAGGCCAAGCCCAGCAACACAATACAATAAATGAAGTCAAAACACAACAAAATATGATAAATTACATAGAATATAAAGATACAGCAAACAATATAAATAGAGGTCACCTGGCTCCTTCTGCCTCGGGGCATCCTTTGTTTGGGAGGTGTTCACTGGCACTTGGTTGTTTGCTGTCTGGAGTTCTCCTGTTTCTGAGTGATGTTCTTTATTTCCATCTGAACATGAGGAAGAACTTCCTGACTGTGAGAGCTGTTCAGCAGTGGAACTCTCTGCCCTGGAGTGTGGTGGAGGCTCCTTCTTTGGAAGCTTTTAAACAGAGGCTGGATGGCCATCTGTCAGGGGTGCTTTGAGTGCAATATTCCTGCTTCTTGGCAGAATGAGGTTGGACTGGATGGCCCAGGAGGTCTCTTCCAACTCTAGGATTCTATGATTTACTATCTTGATTCTGATGTTTTTTTAAATAGTGATAACCAGATTTTGTTCGTTTTCATGATTTCTGCTTCTCTGTTGACAATGTGCACGGATTGGATTTCAATGGCTTTTCTGTGTGTAGCCTAACATGGTGGTTGTCGGAGTGGCCAAGCATTTCTTTGATCTCAAATCAGTCTGCAGTAACCTCAGCAGACTGAAAGTCAAAACCAAGGTTACAACAACATCTATTATAGAACTCCAGTATGCTGATGACAATGTCGTCTGTGCGCATTCGGAAGAAGACCTACAAGCCACTCTAAACACCTTTGCAGAAGCATATGAGAGGCTCGGCCTGTCATTAAACATCGAGAAAACCAAAGTGCTCTTCCAGCAGACACCAGCCAATCCCTCTCCAATGCCAGTTGTTGTTGTTCATTCGTTCAGTCATCTCCGACTCTTCGTGACCTCATGGACCAGCCCACGCCAGAGCTCCCTGTCAGCTGTCACCACCCCCAGCTCCTTCAAGGTCAGTCCAGTCACTTCAAGGATGCCAGAAATACACTCCAATGCCAGAGATACAGTTTAATGGTGTAACATTACACAATGTTGATCATTTCCGCCCCCTTGGCAGCCACCTCTTCACCAAAGTCAATATTGACACTGAAATACATCACTGCCTGAGCTCTGCGAGTGCAGCATTTTCCCGAATGAAGCAGAGAGTGTTTGAGGACCGGGACATCCGTAGGGATACCAAGGGGCTTGTTTATAAAGCTATTGTCCTCCCAACCCTGCTATATGCCTGTGAGACGTGGACTGTCTACAGACATCAAAATTGACACTGAAATACAACACTGCCTGAGCTCTGCAAGTGCAGCATTTTCCCGAATGAAGCAGAGCGTGTTTGAGGACCGGGACATGCGTAGGGAGACCAAGGGGCTTGTTTATAAAGCTATTGTCCTCCCCACCCTGCTATACGCCTGCAAAATGTGGACTGTCTACAGACGTCAACATTGAGGCTGAAATACAACACCACCTGAGCTCTGCGAGTGCAGCTTTTTCCAAATGAATCCGAGAGTGTTTGAGGACCGGGACATGCGTAGGGAGACCAGGGGGCTTGTTTATGAAGGTATTGTCCTCCCAACCCTGCTCTACACCTGCAAAACGTGGACTGTCTACAGATGTCACATGCAACTCCTGGAACAATTCCATCAGCGATGCCTCTGGAAAATCCTGCAAATCTCTTGGGAAGATACGCGGATAAATGTCAGCGTGCTGGAAGAAGCAAATACCACCAGCATTGAAGCGATGGTCCTCCACCATCAACTCTGCTGGACCGGCCATGTTGTCTGGATACCCGACCACCATCTCCCAAAGCAGTTGCTCTACTCCGAACTCAAGAACGGAAAACAGAATGTTGGAGGACAGGAAAAGAGATGTAAAGATGGGCTCAAAGCCAACCTTTAAAAATTTGGCATAGACACTAGGAACTGGGAAGCCTTGGCCCTTGAGCGCTCCAGTTGGAGGTCAGCTGTGACCAGCATTGCTGCAGAATTTGAAGAGCCACGAATGGAGGGTGAAAGAGAGAAATGTGCCAAGAGGAAGGCGCATCAAACCAACCCCGACCAGGACCACCTTCCACCTGGAAACCGATGTCCTCGCTGTGGGAGAAGATGTAGGTGAAGAATAGGGCTCCACAGTCACCCATGGACCCACCACCAGGACACCACACTTGGAGGACCATCATCCTCGAACTACAAGGGATCGCCTAAGTAATAGACTCCTGCAGTGGTTAGACTGAGGACCCCTCTTATCCTTTGCTGAACGTATCATTTGTTAGTTTTTCTTCGTGGGCCTGTAGATCATTTGTAGGTTGTGTTTCTTCCTCAGCTTCCTTCTGTAGTCAGTGGTTCCCTTGATGTCTGGCAAGAACACTTTCCCTCTGAGTGGGTCTTGGTCTTGACTCTCATGGCTTGTTCTTGGTCTTGCAGCTCTTCTGATGTCGGTCGTAAAACATTTTTCATTTTCTCCCTGGTAGAGAACTGGACGTTGCAAAGGCAGATCAGGAGAAGATGGACAACCCAGATCTTCTGGACGAGCAGGATGGAGAAAGGTCGAAGAAAAGGCCTTTCAGGTAAGTTGCTCACCTGAGAGGCAGGAGAATAATTATTATAATACATAATCATAAGTATTATTATGATGTTTAATTTTAGGAGCGAAAAGGGTACAGTGGTGATGTATTTGAGAAAACACCAAGTTTAAAAACTTGGCATGATACTAAATGTCCTTTGACCAGTAGCTGCCCATTTGGAGTGCCATTGGTGGTCATGTTAAATTTTGTTACATAGTATTATTTGAACCCATAGCTAAGTCCCAGTGGTCAAGCTCCAACCCTTTGCCTGCTCTCCCTTTCCGTCATAATCCTTCCGTTATCTCACCACCCTTTTACTTGCCTTTGTGTATTTTGAAATATTTTTAATTCGGCTGTATAAGAGGATTTGATTGTTTCACAGTCATGTTACACAGCTTTTACTTTCCCATTCATGCTTTGCCCTTCTTTTTCCTGTCTTAGATCCGCATCTGCCACCTCCATGACCCTGGCCAGATACGTGGACGTTTTCAAGGGCTTGTTTGAGTAAGTGTGCCTTCGAGTGGCTGTTCCCAACTTAACGGGGATCCAAAGCCAAACTTGTTGGAACTCACCCTGTGATTGAACCTGAGCCTGGGCTTGAACCTGTGAATTTGTTTCAGTCTCCCGATGTTTCTGTGTCTGATGTGGGTAATGAGGAGGGAAATCCGTCCCCTGTTGCTTCTGATGTGGGGGATGCTGGGACTAACTCTGAGGTGCAAGATGGAGACACTTTGGTCAATGAGTTTCATGCAGACACTGACAGAGAGGCTTCGGTGCAAAGGGCAGATTCTCATGAGAATGTTTCTGTCAGGCCTTGGGAGAAAGGTTTACTCCCTCCGCCTGTGAGCTCTCCAGATTCTAGTTTGGAAAACAATCTGAAACCTGCTAAAGTTAATAAGGAGTCCGATAGGCAATGTTGGCGGCTGGAGATTAGCCAGAATCGACAAGAGGCCCAATGTTTACGTAGATCCAAAATAATTTGTCAGTTAAGGTCAAAGACTGGGGGGAAAACAAAACCAGTTTTTGGGATTTAAGGTTTGCTTGTAGAAAATCTTGTCAGATCAGGCAACGTTTGGAAACCAAGTTGTTGTGCTATGGAAGTCTTGTTCAAGCGATCTTGTTTTTTGAGGAGTTTTTTAGCCTTTTGAATTGTCTTTGCATCCTGCTTGATTCTTGTCTGGATTAAATGCTATCTTGGATTGCCTGTATTTCTTGTGTGGACATTGCTTTGGGTTACTACTGTTTATGGACTAATACTTTTTGGAACTTTCTGATTTTCTTAAAAGCATTTATTTCTTCTTTCTATTTACTAAGCTTTAATAAAAGAAGATTTAATTCTTCACTCTTTGTGTGGGGTGTTTTAAGTCAGAGGGCTTCTTCTGGACCTGGAAAGCAACAAGACCTATCATAGTATTTTGTGGACCAGGTTGTGGCGCAGTTGGTTGGGAATCAGCTACATTAAAATCACTACTGACTGAAAGGTCATGAATTCGAAGCCAGCCCGAATCGGAGTAAGCTCCTGACCATTTGTCTAGCTTGCTGTCAACCTTTGCAACCCAAAAGACAGTTGCATCTGTCAAGTAGGAAATTTAGATACTGCTTATGCAGGGAGGCTAATTTAACTAATTTACGACGCTACAAAACTATCCAGCAGCATGCAAAAGAATGAGGAAGTACTCTATCAGAGTCGCAAGTGGACGGCGAAGTGGCAGCTCCCCCAGTGGCCAGAATTCAAAAAGCATACCCTCATGAAGCTGGAAAGTTAAATAGCCTCTATTTTTGTTGTTGTTCATTCGTTCAGTCGTCTCCGACTCTTCGTGACCTCATGGACCAGCCCACGCCAGACCTCCCTGTCGGCCGTCACCACCCCCAGCTCCTTCAAGGTCAGTCCAGTCACTTCAAGATGCCATCCATCCATCTTGCCCTTGGTCGGCCCCTCTTCCTTTTCCTTCCACTTTCCCCAGCATAATTGCTGTCTTCTCCTGGCTTTCCTGTCTCCTCATGATGTGGCCAAAGTACTTCAACTTTGTCTCTAGTATCCTTCCCTCCATGAGCGGTTGGGCTTTATTTCCTGGAGGATGGACTGGTTGGATCTTCTCGCAATCCAAGGCTGTGTGTCTATATATGTTGTGTATCTATGGCATTGGATGTTTGCCATGTATATGTGCATTGTAATCTGCCCTGAGTCCCCTGCAAGGTGAGGAGGGCGGAATATAAATACTCTAAATAAATAAATAAATTTATTTCCCGGGGGTTGAGGGACTGTGACCCTCCTATGGTCACCCAGTGGGTTTCCATGGTTGAACAAGGATTTGAACCCAGGTTTCCAGAGTCATCATCCCAATGCACTTTCCTCTAATACTGGAATTCAAAACAGCTTGGATTTGCTAGGTATTGGCCAACTTTGTCCCTCCCTCCAGGTGTTTTGGATGACAACTCCCACAATTCCTAACAGCCGGTAGGCTGTTAGGAATTGTGGGAGTTGTCGTCCAAAACACCTGGAGGGAGGGACAAAGTTGGCTCATGCCTAGTCTATATTACCAATTGTTTTTCCCTCTTTCTCTGGTTAGTTTCAGGCTGAAACGGGGCAACTCCGTCAGCAACATGTCAGAGGACCACTATTGCCGCATCCCTTGTTGCGCGGTGGCCAGCCTCCCTTCCCACGTCAGCGACTTACAGGTACATTGGACATTTCAGGAACTAATCCGTTAATTTCTTGTTCTCCTTTTATTCCTCAGGAATCCAATGTTATTGTTGGAAATAGCAACCTCCTTGAAGCCTCCACGAATAATTTGTTTTATAGATTATTCTGTTTGCTTATTGTATTGTATATGTATGTTTTGATATGCAGTTTTCCCTTTACTCTAGGTATCTTGAAGTTGTGGGAGGGGCTGGACCAGAAGCAGGTTCTATTTGGGATATTACTATTATTATATTATTATTATTATTATTATTATTATTATTATTATTATTATTATTATTATTATCTAGCCATCCCCTACCATGCATTGCTGTAGCTCAGTCTGTGTATATGTGTTTTTTTGTGTATATGTGTATTTATTTGTGTATATGTGTGTTTGCATATATATATGTCGTTTTACGCATGCGTTGCAATGTAATTTTCGGTTTTTTTGGCTTTTTAAGTCCCTTCCACTGTGTTTTTTAGTGTTTTATGAGTGATGGTCACTCATTGGACTAATAGGGGTATTGTGTCCAAATTTGGTGTCAACTCGTCCAGTGATTTTTGAGTTATGTTAATTCCACAAACAAACATTACATTTTTATTTATATAGATGATGATGATAATATAACAGGATGTCCCTCTGGCAGAAACAAAGTTTGTGCAGTTTAATAACTTTTCCCATGTTTTTGGAATCGAAACCATTATTTATTTATTTATTTAATACACTTGTATACCGCTAATATCTCAGCCTAAGTCGGCGACTCATTGCGGTTTACAACAATTAAAAACAATATACAATTTAAAACAACAACACATAGACAATACAAATTATTGGGCCACCAATAATAATACCATGTATCTCGTCACTAAAATCACAGTCCAGAATTCGTCATCCATAATTAACCAGTCCTTAGTCCATAAAATTCGGTAATAGCAAACTAACCGAATGCTTGTTTACACAACCATGTTTTTAATCTCTTCCGAAACACCATCAGCGAAGAGGCTGATCGTATCTCTATAGGGAGAGTGTTCCAAAGCCGAGGGGCCACCACAGACAAAAATTATGTTACATAGTATTGGGTCATTGTGGGTTTTTTTGGGCTATATGGCCATGTTCGAGAGGCACTCTCTCCTGACGTTTCGCCTGCATCCATGGCAAGCATCCTCAGAGGTAGTGAGGTCTGTTGGAACTAGGAAAAAGGGTTTATATATCTGTGGAATGACCAGGGTGGGACAAAGGACTCTTGTCTGCTGGAGCTAGGTGTGAATGTTTCAACTGACCACCTTGATTAGCATTTGATTGCCTGGCAGTGCCTGGCGCAATCTTTTGGCCATAGCAGAGCACCTGATGAACCAACCTGGACACAGCATATTATTGAGAACACAGAAATGCTGGACCACTCACAACCACCATGTCAGACTACACAGAGAAGCCATTGAAATCCACAGAAGCATGTGGACAATTTCAACAGAAAGGAGGAAACCATGAAAATGAACAAAATCTGGCTACCAGTATTAAAAAACTCTAAAATTACAACAGCAAAAACAGCAGAGAGGAAACAAACAGGGACATCTAATCACCTCTCAACAAAAGATTGCTCCAGGCACTTCCAGGCTATCAAATGCTAATCAAGGTGGTCAGTTGAAACATTCACACCTAGCTCCAGCAGACAAGAGTCCTTTGTCCCACCCTGGTCTTTCCACAGATATATAAACCCCCTTTCCTAGTTCCAACAGACCTCACTACCTCTGAGGATGCTTGCCATAGATGCAGGCGAAACGTCAGGAGAGAATGCCTCTAGAACATGGCCATATAGCCCGAAAAAACCTACAACAACCCAGTGATTCCGACCATGAAAGCCTTCGACAATACATTACATAGTATTATTGTTCTTGTTGTATGTGAGCCTGTTCAACCTGTGATTGTGTCTGATGTTTATGATGGGAATGGAGATGATGTTCCTGATGGTGGGCCTGAGTCTGTTGGCAGTGGGGACGAGGGTTTGCCTGGGCCTGAGTTAAGCTCAGACGAAAAAATGAAATGCAAAGATACAGAATGGGGGATGCCTGGCTCGAGAGCAGTACGTGTGAAAAAGATCTTGGAGTCCTCGTGGACAACAAGTTAAACATGAGCCAACAATGTGATGTGGCGGCAAAAAAAGCCAATGGGATTTTGGCCTGCATCAATAGGAGCATAGTGTCTACATCTAGGGAAGTAATGCTACCCCTCTTTCTGCTTTGGTTAGACCACACCTGGAATATTGTGTCCAATTCTGGGCACCACAATTCAAGAGAGATATTGACAAGCTGGAATGTGTCCAGAGGAGGGCGACTAAAATGATCAAGGGTCTGGAGAACAAGCCCTATGAGGAGCGGCTTAAGGAGCTGGGCATGTTTAGCCTGAAGAAGAGAAGGCTGAGAGGAGATATGATAGCCATGTATAATAAATATGTGAGAGGAAGCCACAGGGAGGAGGGAGCAAGCTTGTTTTCTGCTTCCTTGGAGACTAGGACGGGGAACAATGGCTTCAAACTACAAGAGAGGAGATTCCATCTGAACATGAGGAAGAACTTCCTGACTGTGAGAGCCGTTCAGCAGTGGAACTCTCTGCCCCGGAGTGTGGTGGAGGCTCCTTCTTTGGGAGCTTTTAAGCAGAGGCTGGATGGCCATCTGTCAGGGGTGATTTGAATGCAATATTCCTGCTTCTTGGCAGAATGGGGTTGGACTGGATGGCCCATGAGGTCTCTTCCAACTCTTTGATTCTATGATTCTATGATTCTATGAGAGGCCCGAGCTGTTTCTGGAAGATTCACAAGGCCACATTCCTGGGAGAGGCCCTTGGCAGTCTTTCTCAGAGCAACTGTCTGAAGATGATTTGTCAGGTGCAGAAGTTAATGAGAGTCAAGTTAATGAGAGTGTAGATAGAAGGCAAGGCTTTTGTAAACAGTGACAGAGTGCTCAAGTGCAAAAAAGATCAGTCCATTTACAGGAAAAGAGAGATAAGAAACTGTTATCTGGTGGTAAGAGCAAGAGAAGTGCTTTCCTTTCAGTTTTGGGATCTGGAAAAGCCTTATATTTATTTATTTATTTACTATATTTGTATACCGCTCTTCTCAGGCCTCAGGGCAACTCAGCAAATACAATACTTAAACATGAGAAAAACAGTTAAAAACAAGTTTAAAAGAATAATGTTATAACAGTCAATAAACATGATAACATCTCATCTCGTCTCGTAGTTAAAATCAAGATCCAGTGTCATCATCCAAATGTTCCATATTTCTATATTAGTTACATTGCCTATTCAAACAACCAGGTTCATGGGAAAGAGTTGCCTCAGTTGGGTCAACATTGGAATTTCATGATGGTCTTTCTTTCAAGTGTTCTTAGTTTCATGTACCAAGTTTTTGCCAAGCTCCTGATTTGTATATTGGATTTTTCTTGCTGCCTTGTTCCACGGATTCTGGTGCCTGCTTCATTGATTTTTATACCTATGGATCTTATTTTGCCTTGAAGCTCATGGACTATCGTTTGTTTTGGAACTTTACTGTTTTTGCTAATTTTGCTGCTTTGCCTACTGATATTTATTTATTTATTTACTTCATTTATATACCGCTTTTTTCCAGCCCTCAGGCGACTCAAAGCGGTTAACAACAGCAAAATTCAATGCAAAACATCACAAAACGATTATGGGACAGTTAAAACAGTAGCATCATCAACAATTAAACATCAATATAACAATCATTAGCATCTCATCAGTAAAATCAGAATCCAAATGATGCCTCGTTTTCATAGAATCATAGAATCAAAGAGTTGGAAGAGACCTCATGGGCCATCCAGTCCAACCCCATTCTGCCAAGAAGCAGGAATATTGCATTCAAACCACCCCTGACAAATGGCCATCCAGCCTCTGCTTAAAAGCTTCCAAAGAAGGAGCCTCCACCACACTCCGGGGCAGAGAGTCCACTGCTGAACGGCTCTCACAGTCAGGAAGTTCTTCCTAATGTTCAGATGGAATCTCCTCTCTTGTAGTTTGAAGCCATTGTTCCGCGTCCTAGTCTCCAGGGAAGGAGAAAACAAGCTTGCTCCCTCCTCCCTGTGGCTTCCTCTCACATATTTATACATGGCTATCATATCTCCTCTCAGCCTTCTCTTCTTCAGGCTAAACATGCCCAGCTCCTTAAGCCGCTCCTCATAGGGCTTGTTCTCCAGACCCTTGATCATTTTAGTCGCCCTCCTCTGAACACATTCCAGCTTGTCAATATCTCTCTTGAATTGTGGTGCCCAGAATTGGACACAATATTCCAGGTGTGGTCTAACCAAAGCAGAATAGAGGGGTAGCATGACTTCCCTAGATCTAGACACTATGCTCCTATTGATGCAGGCCAAAATCCCATTGGCTTTTTTTGCTGCCACATCACATTCCTGGCTCATGTTTAACTTGTTGTCCACGAGGACTCCAAGATCTTTTTCACACGTACTGCTCTCGAGCCAGGCATGTCCCCCATTCTGTATCTTTGCATTTCATTTTTCCTGCCAAAGTGGAGTATCTTGCATTTGTCACTGTTGAACTTCATTTTGTTAGTTTTGGCACATCTCTCTAATCTGTCAAGATCGTTTTGAATTCTGCTCCTGTCCTCTGGACTATTGGCTATCCCTCCCAATTTGGTGTCGTCTGCAAACTTGATGATCATGCCTTCTAGCCCTTCATCTAAGTCATTAAGAAAGATGTTGAACAGGACCGGGCCCAGGACGGAACCCTGCGGCACTCCACTTGTCACTTCTTTCCAGATGAAGAGGAAGCATTAGTGAGCACTCTCTGTGTTCGTCCACTTAACCAATTACAGATCCACCTCACCGTAGTTTTGCCTAGCCCACATTGGACTAGTTTCCTTGCCAGAAGGTCATGGGGGACCTTGTCAAAGAAGGCCTTACTGAAATCCAGGTACGCTCCATCCACGGCATCATTCCCCGCATCTACCCAGCTTGTAGCTCTATCGAAGAAAGAGATCAGATTAGTCTGGCATGACTTGTTTTTGATAAATCCATGTTGACTATTAGCGATGACTGCATTTGTTTCTAAGTGTTTGCAGACCGCTTCCTTAACAATCTTTTCCAGAATATTCCATATTCCTATATTCAATTACACTCCTTAATCGAATGCTTGTTCGAACAGCCAGGTCTTCACTTTCCTCCGAAGCGCCAACAAGGAGGGGGCTGATCTGATATTTATAGGAAGGGCGTTTCACAGCTGAGGGGCCACCACTGAGAAGGTCCTGTCTCTCGTGCCCGCCAGGCGCGCCTGTGATGCAGGTGGGACCGAGAGCAGGGCCTTCCCAGATGATCTTAATGTCCTAGTTGGTTCATAGGAGGAGATGCTTATATTCTTAACAAACTCCTTGCTGATTTTACCAAGCTGGTGTGGTATTTAAGGCCAGAGGTGTTCCTGCTCTGGTGTACAACAGCTCTTATTATTACTATTATTATTATTATGAGTCCTGCCACATGCACAATGGAGGACCTCCTTGCGGCAACACCAGAAGCACTCCAAGTGGCCAGATACTGGTCGGGGGACATTTAACCAACTACTGGACTCACGAGTTTTGTGTTTCGTCTGTTTGTTTGCTTCGTTCTGTTGGAAATGTAATGTAGTGGACTGGTTGCTCTGACACGACAAATAAATATTATGGAAAATTTCCTTGTGCATAGGAAGACTATTTCCAAGACCTTTAAATTGGTAGTCCGACTTGGCAAAGTGGGTTTGAGTCCACAATAGCAAAATGACGACACTCTTTTCCGGAGTGGCAACTCCTGGATTTGTTATACCAACCATTTGTTTCTCTTCTTTTCTCTGTAGGAAGCCCATGGATCAGAAGTCAATGCTATCAGGTTCAGTCCTAATTCAGGGATGTTGGCAACTGGCGGGACGGACAGGCTGATCCAACTCTGGAACGTGGTTGGAGGTAAGCTGTTGCACTCTAGCACTGGAACACCCTTCCACCCTACACCACAGCAGAGCCTAGGGCTCCAATAGCACAATGTTTATTAAAGAAAGTATATATAAAGGGGGAAAAGGGTCAATCCAAAAGTACAGTCAGAATAAAAGATGCAGTGCACAAAATAGTCAAAGTAGCAGGAATCCAAAAATGCAAGGTTAATACCAGAACCATGGGATCCTAAATCACAGCATTAATCCAAAGGTATATCCATGAACATGTGTGATGAATTGCCTACCTGTAGGCCAGAAAAAAGCTCAGAAAGTAGGCCCAAGTATTTTGGCAGCCATTTTGTGGTAAGGTGCATGGAGGCATCCATCTTAGGTTAGTCATTTCCTAGAGGAGGTGGAGCTTAGGAGCAGCCTGGAGGGATATGTGGAGAACCTTTGTGATTGTCTGAGTGTTGAAGAAGAGAGTTAGGTTTTGGGAGAGTTAGGAGAAGAGAAGTTAGAGAAGCCAAAGTGGTTAGTTAGAGAAGATAGATAGCTATTAGTGAAGAATAGCTGGTATAGAGTATAAACAGATCCAAGGAAAGGGACTATTTAAAGTATTAGGAATTCTAATCAGAAGGAAGTCTGCTAGTTTCCTGAGGGAGTGAAGAGTTGTTATTGGAACCAAGTACTGAACTGTTTTAAAGTAACCATAAACTTCATCTTATTCTTGCAACTGTTATGCTTAAGTGCCTGTATTTTTGAAATCCACACAAATAAACAACTTTGTTCTTTGTTAAACAACAACTGTCTCAGAGTGCCTCTGTCCGAAGAAGTTCCACAACAGATTAGGGGAACAGAGTTCCCAGATTGGTGGCGGACTTGTGTTGCTCAAATGTAGTACTTGACTAACCTTTTGACCTTATGTGGCGTTTGCTGCTCTTTGCTGCAACACTTATGGTTTCTTCTTTGATGCTTCACCCAGGTCGCCTGGAGAAGATGCAGACCTTGGAAGGAGCCAACGGGAGCATCACCAGTGTGGACTTTGACCCATCGGTGAGTGTGAGAGGAGCGCCCTTGCTATTGTTTGGTATTGACAGCTGCAGAGTGATATAGATGCTGCTCACAGAGGGATCTCCATGGTGGGAGGTGCAAATAATAATAGAATCCTATATTGCAAAGGGACCTCCAAAGGCCATCTAGTCCAACCCCATCCTGATACATAAGAAGACATGATCCAAGCCCTCTTGAACAAATAGCCATGCAGCCTGAGTCCACCAGACTCTTATTATATATTATTATATTTATTTATACCCCGCTTTATCTTCTCAATATAGACACCCAGGCAGTCTATATTGAACTGGGGTTGGAAGAGACCCCCAAAGGTAACTCAGTCCATCCCCATTATGATACACAGAAAGATGCAATCCAAGCCCTCCCAACAGAAGCTGGGTGGCCTTCTCTTCTTCAGGCTAAACATGCCCAGCTCTTTAAGCCGCTCCTCATAGGGCTTGTTCTCAAGACCCTTGATCCTTTGAGCCGCCCTCCTCTGGACACACTCCAACTTAGAGTCAACATCTTGAAGCAATTGGAGAAAAGGTAGAAAGGAAAACTTTCCATAACCCATCCATTCCTTTATCCCTAGGGATAATAATAATAATAATAATAATAATAATAATAATAATAACAACTTTATTTATACCCCGCCACCATCTCCCCAAGGGGACTCGGAGCGGCTTACATGAGGCCAAGCCTAACACATCAGTAAAAACAACAAAGCAATAAACAAATAAAACAATACAATTAATATAACTTGCATATAAACAGTAACACACAAGGATTTAAAAAACCTATGCATCCATGCTGTCGAGGGAAGGCAGTTTGACACCACTTTCACTGCCATGGCTTAATGTTATAGATCAAGCCTGGGCAAACTTCGGCCCTCCAGGTGTTTTGGACTTCAAATCCCACAATTCCTAACAGCCAGTAGAAGAGAATGCTCCTGGAACATGGTCATACTCACAGCAACCTACCTAATCATTGCTTTTACCTGTCTCTCATCTCCAAACCAGGGTTGCCACCTTTTAGCAGCAACATACAACAATGCCGCGCAGCTTTGGAAGACGGGGGACTGTCAATGCAAGGTGAGCTCATATGGGTTTGGGGGGGGGGGGGGTATTATTTATTTACAGTATTTGATTTTGGATCCTGTTGTTGCAATCCAGAGCAGGAAACGAGGCCCTAAGATAACTATCCACCACACTTGGCTGTGAAAAACAATCCTTTTTTATTGAAGAAAAATGGTTACAAAATAAAGAAAAAATGCAAGTCAAAAGCCACAGCAAAATCAGCAAACATGAATGTCCATGAACAAGATCAAAACCCAAAGCCACACTGTAAAATACTGGAACCTGTTAGCAATCCACTAACCGTACTTGGTGTCCTAGAAATCTTTCAAGACGATGGCCAGGGAAACCGGGAGAACTGCCAAGGTACTCATCAATCTAAAACGATGCCTGAACTGAGAAAGTCAGCCCGGCAGAAGGCACTTAAAGCCGAGGAATTGGTTTCGTGAAACGCCTCCCTGCTTTGAAGCCCTTGTTTGTGTTTCTTTTAATCTGGAAGACCTTCGCAAGCTGAGTGATTCACTCCTGCCTTGCCAGATCTGGCCCCTTCTCTTCTCATTAAGGTTCCCAGGTGCAGAAGGGAGTGAAAGGTCATCGCTTCTCTCTGAAACATTCTCATGAACACTGGTACTTTCATTTTCCAAATCTGCAGAAGTTTCTTCCTCACTAATTTCAGGAGCATTGACATCAAGAAGTACATTTTCATTAGCATCAGGAAGTACATTTCCATTAGCATCAGTAAATATATTTTCATTAGCATCAGGAGGAACAAACAGAGAATCAGGTTCAAACTCAGGCTGAACCCCAACAGGGGGGAGAAAGGGGGATGGGAAGGAAGTCTTATGACATGTTGCCTGAGGAATTGTGGGAGTTGGAGTCCAAAACACCCTGGAGGGAGGGCTGAAGTTGGCCCATGCCTGCTGCTGTTGTTTATTCATTCAGTCGCTTCTGACTCTTGGTGACCTCATAGAATCATAGAACCATAGAATCAAAGAGTTGGAAGAGACCTCATGGGCCATCCAGTCCAACCCCCTGCCAAGAAGCAGGAATATTGCATTCAAATCACCCCTGACAGATGGCCATCCAGCCTCTGTTAATCAAAAGAAGGAGCCTCCACCACACTCCGGGGCAGAGAGTTCCACTGCTGAACGGCTCTCACAGTCAGGAAGTTCTTCCTCATGTTCAGATGGAATCTCCTCTCTTGTAGTTTGAAGCCATTGTTCCGCGTCCTAGTCTCCAGGGAAGCAGAAAGGAAGCTTGCTCCCTCCTCCCTGTGGCTTCCTCTCACATATTTATACATGGCTATCATATCTCCTCTCATCCTTCTCTTCTTCAGGCTAAACATGCCCAGCTCCTTAAGCCGCTCCTCATAGGGCTTGTTCTCCAGACCCTTGATCATTTTAGTCGCCCTCCTCTGGACACATTCCAGCTTGTCAATATCTCTCTTGAATTGTGGACCAACCCATGTCAGAACTCCCTGATGGCCATCTGTGGCCACCCACAGCTCCTTTAGGGTCAAGCTCTTTAAGTCCCTTCAAGGATCCCATCCCCTGGAGGGAGGGCCGAAGTTGGCCCATGCCTGGTGTTGTTGTTTATTCGTTGAGTCGCTTCCGACTCTTGGTGACCTGATGGACCACCCCAGGCCAGAACTCCTTGTCGGCCATCTGTGGCCACCCCCAGCTCCTTCAAGGCCAATCCAGTCTCTTCAAGGATCCCATCCATCCATCTTGCTCTTGGTCAGCCCCTCTTATTTATTTTATTTATCTCAAACATTTTTACCCCGCCCTTCTCAACCCCTGGGGGGACTCAGGGTGGCTTCCAATTAGCAACAATTCGATGCCGCATCATAAAATACAAAACAGCAATTACAACAGTTAAAAAACATAAACATTAAGACATACAAATTAAAACAGTATACTTAAACTCTGATTAGCTATTGCCCATCTGGTGGCTGTTTAGCTAGCCATCTACTAATGATTATTCCACATTAACTTATCCAAATCCTCTTCCAAGCCATAGTCAAACATTATCAATTGTCCTTTAACCTAATTGCCTGAAGGCCTGGTCCCACATCCACATTTTAACCTTCTTTCTAAAGGTAAGGAGGGATGATGATGACCTAATTTCCCCGGGAAGTGAATTCCACAGACAGGGGGCTACCACCAAGAAGGCCCTACTCCTCGTCCCCGCCAGCCTCACTTGTGATAGAGGCAGGGCCGAGAGCAGGGCCTCCCCAGAAGATCTTAAACTCCGAGGTGGGACATAGAAGGAGATACATTCAGACAGGGTCGTCCCTGGATGGCACTTGGATGGGAGACAGCCAATGAATCCCAGCTGCTGTTGGTTCTATTTCAAAGAAAGGAATTGACAAAAATAACTCTGATGTTTCCCCCTATTCAATTAATGGGCATCAATGGGCACATACAGGCGACTACAATAATCAAGGGTCTGGAGAACTTCCTGACTGTGAGAGGAAGTTCAGCAGTGGAACTCTCTGCCTCGGAGTGTGGTGGAGGCTTTTAAACAGAGGCTAGGTGGCCATCTGTCAGGGGTGCTTTGAATGCAATTTTCCTGCTTCTTGGCAGAATGGGGTTGGACTGGATGGCCCACGAGGTCTCTCCCAACTCTAGAACTCTATGATTGCGTATGTGGCTGTACTGCAACTCCCATTATCAACTACTCCTGAAAGATTGCATGGTTGCAGCAGTATGTTCTACAGTAGAAAGTCCAGTTGCAAGAGTGGGGATCATGTTTGGAAGAAATATTGATGTTGACAAGCTAGAATGTTTCCAGATGAAGGTGACCAAAATGATCAAGGGTCTGGAGAACAAGCCCTATGAGGAGCGGCTTAAAGAGCTGGGCATGTTTAGCCTGAAGAAGAGAAGGCTGAGAGGAGACATGATAGCCATGTATAAATATGTGAGAGGAAGCCACAGGGAGGAGGAGGGAGCAAGCTTGGAGACTAGGATGGGGAACAATGGCTTCAAACTACAAGAGAGGAGATTCCATCTGAACATTAGGAAGAACTTCCTGACTGTGAGAGCCGTTCAGCAGTGGAACTCTCTGCCCCGGAGTGTGGTGGAGGCTCCTTCTTTGGAGGCTTTTAAACAGAGGCTGGATGGCCATCTGTCAGGGGTGCTCTGAATGCAATATTCCTACTTCTTGGCAGTACGAGGGTGGCCTGGATGGCCCATGAGGTCTCTTCCAACTCTAGGGTTCTATGATTCATTCATAGGGTTGTTATGCATCCAAGCCAACTTAATAACTTAACACCAAACCATTAATGGGGATGTACCAATTCAAGAGAGAGCAAACGAGAGCGAAGAAGAGAGAAAGGCCACACATTCCTCCCATTCCTAGTTTGGGAACTTTTATACTCGGCACACTTGAAGTTGAAAGGGTGACATTCCAGGGACAAAAATGTAAACCTCTTTTGAAAGGAAGGGGAAGGTCAGCCTTAGCGGAGGCTGCCAAGACTGCCATTAAGCCTGACCCCCTTGCCATGGTCCCGCTTGACCCCCTCCATCGCGCTTTGATCTGGCTGCAATAAACACACATAAATCTGGGTTATTAAATCGCACACCCACGGCCTTCTATGCCCTGGCCATTCCTCACTGGACTTCGCTTGGCTCTGAAGCCTCACCAAATCTTAGGAAAGTTATTATTCCTGTATATAAATAAAAATGTAATGTTCATTTGTGGGATTAACAGAACTCAAAAACCACTGGATGAATTGATACACACTGGATGAATTTCTGTCATGGCTCCGTTCCTTCCTGGAGGGTCGATCCCAGATGGTGAAGCTGAGAGACGCCTGTTCGGACCCCTGGCCTTTGACCTGTGGGGTCCCGCAAGGCTCTATTCTGTCTCCCATGCTTTTTAACATCTACATCAAACCGCTGGGAGAGGTCATCTGGAGTTTTGGAGTTGGGTGCCATCTCTACGCAGATGACACGCAACTCTACTACTCTTTTCCACCTAACTCCAAAGAAGCCCCTCGGGTGCTGGACGAGTGCCTGGCCGCTGTGTCTATCTGGATGAGGAGGAACAAGCTGAAGATCAATCCTGACAAGACAGAGGTCCTTCTGGTCGATCATAAATCGGATCGGGGTATAGGGTGGCAACCTATGCTGGATGGGGTTGCACTCCCCCTGAAGTCACAGGTCCACAGTTTGGGCGTCCTCCTGGACTCATCACTGTCGCTTGAGGCTCAGGCGTTGGCGGTGGCCGGGAGGGCCTTCGCACAATTGAGACTTGTGCGCCAACTGCGACCGTACCTCGTGAAGGAGGATCTGGCCAGGGTGGTCCATGCCTTAGTCACCTCCAGATTGGACTACTGTAGTGCACTCTACTTGGGGCTGCCCTTGAAAACGGCCCGGAAATTTCAGTTGGTTCAACGGGCGGCAGCCAGGTTGTTAACGGATGCTCCTTACAGGGAGAGGTCAACCTTCCTGTTTAAGGAGCTCCATTGGCTGCCGTTCATTTTCCGGTCCTAATTCAAGATGCAGGTGTTTACCTACAAAGCCCTAAACGGTTTGGGACCTACCTACCTGCGTGACCGCATGTCCGTATACGAACCCACACGATCTCTTCGTTCATCTGGAGAGGCCCTGCTCACAGTCCCACCTGCATCGCAAGCACGATTGGTGGGGATGAGGGACAGGCCTTCTCAGTGGTGGCCCCTCGACTCTGGAGCTCCCCCCCCCCCCAGGACATCAGGCATGCCCTGATGTTGGCAGTCTTCAGAAGGAGCTTGAAAACATGGATGTTCCAGTGTGCCTTCCCAGATTGAGGAATGCCAAGCAATATGTCCCAAATGCACTTTACAAGAGAGTTAGAAGTGTCTGCATACCCACTTACCCCCCAAAATATTCATCCTTTTTCACCTGGTCATGCCCAGCATTTTTTTTAAAAAAAATTAATCTTTACATTTGGCCCTGCCAGGTTTTTAAACTGCGTCGTGATATTTTGTTATTGTTTTTGCTTTGCTATGAGTTATTTGTTGCTGTATTGTATTG